TATTTAAAGTTTTGAATACAAAATAATATATATATATATATATATATATATACAGCGAATACTTGTGTGTGATACAGAGATAGTGCTTTGTAGAAGAAGATAAACCGTCCGTATATACAAGTTGATACAATGGAGGCAGAACATTTCCAATTGAAAGTTAATGACGAAGACTGGATTCAGGGGCAGCTGAAGCTCACGATTGTCAAAGTCGAAGACCTGCCTAGAATGGACACTTTCTCAGCTGGGGATCCGTATGTCACTGTGCATCTGGGCGGCACCAAATGGTACGTTCGTATTAACTTATACAAGAGTATCGGGTCAAGAAGAGTGTGATATTGAGAGTAGAGTTATATACATCGAGTTAGCGGGGAGTAGAAGCATAAGACCTGCAGTTCTGCATTTGAAGAAAGGAGCGGGTGATGAAAGAGTACGTGCATGCACATAGGTAGTGGTTTATGAGGAGAGTGGTAGTAACTGACTACCCATGGTCGTGTGTAGACAAGGGATATTGTGCAAGTTCTAATTTTCTGACTGACAGCGTTTGCACATGCGGCTGTGACGCTTGCAGAATTTCGAGCAACTTTGTGTACCTTAGTGCATTAAGGAGCCGACTGTCGTTCGATTACTTGTAGGTAAATTACTCACTGAAAGTATACTTTTCTTTGATCTTTTTTTTTTGATGCTTGCTTCGCAGGCAGTTTGTGTGCATAAGTCTTTCCAAGATCAAATCTGAAATGGAGCAATGAATTAAACATGACTGATTTGCCCTTTGTCGCATTGTTAAATAATTGTCGATTACGTGTGCACACGTTCGAAACGTATCACCTTCTCCCTCAGATACATATTGCTCAATACATTGTTTGTGACTCTTTGTAGGGCTCGCACAAATATCCAGAAGAAAACCAAGAATCCCGTGTTTGATCATGTCTTCCACCAAAGCGTGTGTCATAAGGGAGAAAATTTCCTATTTAAGGTATGTCTGTATATCTGACTTTGAACCTGGCAAGGACTGAGACATTCTCATCTTCTCGCCCTGCAAATCTGGTAGCGTCTGTACGTACCCTTGTCGAGATTTGATCAGCATACTCTCTTTGTGGTTTCTGCTAAGCACCTTAGCTTCAAAATTACTGGTATTAAAATCCGTGAATATCATGAAGTTTGTATCGGCTTCTGTAAATATTCCATCACCAGCACCCGAGTTTCTGAAGTAACCCTATTTACAAAAGTTCTCAAAACGTTCCGCGATTCGGTTAAGCGTCGTCTTGTTCAGCTCGTCGTGATAAAATTTGGCTTTTTTTTTGCAATTGTCCATTCGTATGATGTGACTAGCACTTGGCTAGCTTGGCAAAAGTGTTAGACCGAGATTATTTGTAATATTATACCCGTATAATCAATAAAAACTCGATATATATCACAGGTCAAGGATATGGATGCGGATGCGTCTAAACTAGTAGGTACCTGCCAGCTCAGCATCGAGGAGGTAAAAGCATGCGAGGAGGAAAAGTTGTTTGAGTTGCCGCTTAAATTAGAAGGTATGCTTTAACCTTATCACGTGCTTCTCAGTCTTTTAGACACAATCGGTAGCGGGGACTATTTTAAAAGCTTAGAATGCAGGAGTTGACATGCTGCTTCGAGTACGCGAGTTTCTGATAGAAACTACTAATGATGTGTGTGCATAAGACACATATATTAACGACATCATGAATATATACATAAGCATACATATACAAATATGAACACGAGCATACACACACGAGAAAAAAAAACCCCACACGCATATATATATATATATATATATAAGTAGGATTATCTGTGTATGTGTAAATATATTTATATATATATATATATATATATCTATATATATATATTACTATATATATATATATATATATATATACTANATATATATATATATATATATATAATAA